CTTGGAACTTAGGATTTTTGAATTAATGCTAAAATGAGTTAAGACCTTTGAGAAAGTATGATTGTATTTTGAAATGTTAGAAGGACATGAGATTTTGGGGGACCAAGGATGAAATGATGTGATTTGGATATCTGTCCTGTCCAAATATGTTGAAATGTAACCCTCAATGTTGGGGTTCCTGGTGGGAGGTGTTTGAGTCATGGGGGCAGATCCCTCATTGCCTGGTGCTGTCCTCGTGATAGTGAGTGAGTTCTCATGTGATCTGGTTGTTTAAACGTGTGTGGCATGTCTCTCTCCCTCTTCCTCCTGCTTTTGCCATGTGACAGGCCCACTCCTGCTTCACCTTGTGTCATGAGTAAAAGTTCACTGAGACCTCCTCAGAAGCCAATCAGATGCCAACATCATGCTTGTAGAGCCTGCAATTAAATCTCTTTTCTTTATAAATTACTTGGTCTCAGGTATTCCTGAGACCCAAGAATGGCCCAACACAGTAAGTTTCAAGGTTTAAGACTGGAAGGGTCAATTTCTATGTTTATTTACACACACACACACACACACACACACACACACACACACACACACACACACACAACTGTCAGTTTTATGGAGAAGTTGGGCTGGTTTTAATTTCACAGTACCACACTGACTTAGCAGTATGTTTCCTGTCTAACACTGGATTTTACAAGGAAGTGCACAGATGGGCCTAGGAAAAGGTTAAGAAGTTTGCTGAATTTTGGTTAAGTAAAATATCTTCTTTAGTAAAAATTTCAACAATTAAGAATTCAATTTTAGTCATGCTGAATTTGATTTGCAGAGGGAACAGCTAAGTGAAAGGTCTATGAGGCTGTTAAATAAAGGGTATGTAATAAACCACTAGCTGCTGTAACAATCCTCCCATATCTCAACATTTTAATTCAGTAAAAGTTAATTTCTTGCTCATGCAAAGAACAATGCAGTTGTTCTTGGTTGGCAAGTAGCCTTCCCCAGGGTCATTTAGGGACACTGCTCCACAATCTTAATGGCCTCACCATTCTCAAGGATCCATCTCCTCCCCTAGATCTTCTGCACAGACTGATAGATGGGGAGGAAGTATGAATGATCACTTGGAAGGTGTTTTATGTGCTAATCCTAGAGATGGCTTGTTTTTATCACCACCATATTCCATTGACAGAAGCTACTCACACGGCCATACAAAACTCTAAGGAAGGTTGGGAAACATGTAGTCTAGCAGTGTACTCAAAAGGTAGAAAAAAGTGAATTTGGATGAATTCATAGTAATATCTGTAACATAGGAGTTGATGGTTCAGAAATGAGAGTTAAGTGTTAAAGGGTCTATCATTAAAATATAATGGGTAATTGAGGCTATAGACTGGATGAGAATTCACAGGGAGTAGATGTAGATAGAGTTAAAAGCAAAAGAAGCAAAAGAATGGAAACCTGAGGAATATTCAGTTTTTTCATCTGTAAAGATTTAAGTGACAGATGAATGAGCATGAGAAATAGCAACGAAACGGTTTTAACATATTAAAATCATAGCTAATATTTGTGATTGCTGACTATGTATATGGTACTATGTAGTGTTAACAGGGATTCTTTTACATAATCCTTATTGCAATCTGATTGTGCAAAACCTTTTCAGATTCCCATATTTTTCATGAAGTAACAAAATTGGACAATTAAGTACCTGCCTGGGTCACACAATTAGTAAGTAGAAGATCTTGGATTTAAACCTTGTCTGTCTGACTCCAGAGTTCTATCTCCTCATCAGTGTGCCACCATCATCTCTTCACTTTCACCCAAGGAAGGCGGGGAAACATGAACGCCAAAGGAGGGGTTCCAAGAATTAGAAAATGGTAAACAAATGCTCCAGAGAGTTTCCATAAGAAGTGAATAGTGCCCACTGGAAGGTCATTCTTCCACATTTTCTTTTCTTCCTTTTTTTTTTTTTTGTAAATGCTCATTGAGCATGGGTTTTGTGGCAGTCCCAGCTGGGACAAAGCATGGGCAGAATTTCTTCCCTTATGGAGCTTACATATCAGTGAACACACTCAGACGGTGGCAGTGGCAACCAGATTGCAGAAGATCTAGTGAAATAAAAAAGAGACCATGGAGAGAGTGAATCATGCATTTGATACTTCTCTCCTCTGAGTTGGGTTCTAGAGAGACAGACACAATACTCCATGGTCCTGTGCTTTAAATACAGCCTTACGATCTGAGGCTTCCCTTTCTGTCCCTATTAAAAACTTCCTGTAGGTAGAAGAATTGATAAACTCAGTCTCAGTAGGATGTTAATGACTGATGAAGCTTAAAATACTAGTTTCCTAGGGGTATGTGAATTGTGGGAAACACAGGAAGTCACAGCTTAAATGAATAAATCTCTTTTGATTTTTAGATACCATTGAACAGATGGAGATGAAATTTTATGAGGGTCAGAGTTGCTTTTTTGTTGACCATGAAATTACATCACAAAAGCAGCTGCTAAGACTCCCTGCTGTCCACAGAGCCTGTATTTAAGAAAGACCATTCAAAATAAGACTGAGCTGTGGAATTATAAAACCTTTGGAAAATCTTTCATGTGAGAACAACATGGGGGCAAGCCTTTCACCAAAATAGCTCAAAAATTTGTGTCAAGCAGTTACAGTAAATACCCAAGAGCTGGACACATAAAACACAACAGCTTCCTGGAGACAGAGGGAGGAGAAAGATAAAGGCTGTGGCTTTAGAAGAAAAGGAATAAATTAAGAGGCTTGTTTGCTGTTCAGGCTGGCCCCCAAAGATGACATTTTGGTAGGTTTGGCATGTTCCTGAGACTGTTCTTAACTTTGTTGGTCCTCTAAAATGTACCTGTCTCTTATACACATCTAGATGTGTATAAGAGACAGCATGAACGCCAAAGGAGGGGTTCCAAGAATTAGAAAATGGTAAACAAATGCTCCAGAGAGTTTCCATAAGAAGTGAATAGTGCCCACTGGAAGGTCATTCTTCCACATTTTCTTTTCTTCCTTTTTTTTTTTTTTGTAAATGCTCATTGAGCATGGGTTTTGTGGCAGTCCCAGCTGGGACAAAGCATGGGCAGAATTTCTTCCCTTATGGAGCTTACATATCAGTGAACACACTCAGACGGTGGCAGTGGCAACCAGATTGCAGAAGATCTAGTGAAATAAAAAAGAGACCATGGAGAGAGTGAATCATGCATTTGATACTTCTCTCCTCTGAGTTGGGTTCTAGAGAGACAGACACAATACTCCATGGTCCTGTGCTTTAAATACAGCCTTACGATCTGAGGCTTCCCTTTCTGTCCCTATTAAAAACTTCCTGTAGGTAGAAGAATTGATAAACTCAGTCTCAGTAGGATGTTAATGACTGATGAAGCTTAAAATACTAGTTTCCTAGGGGTATGTGAATTGTGGGAAACACAGGAAGTCACAGCTTAAATGAATAAATCTCTTTTGATTTTTAGATACCATTGAACAGATGGAGATGAAATTTTATGAGGGTCAGAGTTGCTTTTTTGTTGACCATGAAATTACATCACAAAAGCAGCTGCTAAGACTCCCTGCTGTCCACAGAGCCTGTATTTAAGAAAGACCATTCAAAATAAGACTGAGCTGTGGAATTATAAAACCTTTGGAAAATCTTTCATGTGAGAACAACATGGGGGCAAGCCTTTCACCAAAATAGCTCAAAAATTTGTGTCAAGCAGTTACAGTAAATACCCAAGAGCTGGACACATAAAACACAACAGCTTCCTGGAGACAGAGGGAGGAGAAAGATAAAGGCTGTGGCTTTAGAAGAAAAGGAATAAATTAAGAGGCTTGTTTGCTGTTCAGGCTGGCCCCCAAAGATGACATTTTGGTAGGTTTGGCATGTTCCTGAGACTGTTCTTAACTTTGTTGGTCCTCTAAAATGTACGAAATTGATGCAACAGGTCTGAGGAAGTGGATGAGGTGTGAGAAATCATGGTATTCCTATTCAAAAGGGACTACTTTACAACCAGACACAATTATTTTACAGATAACTCTGGTTGGCAAGAGGACCTGAATATTTATATCATTTGGTCAATACATTCTCTCCCTGGTTGAGTATTTTTTTGTGGGAAGCTGCATAATATAAAATGCCTTTCAAGATTCTGCATGTAGCATTAAAGAGTCAGTGAATTCTGGCTCTGCCAACTACTTGGCTCTGGGACCTGGGGTATATTACTTACGTTCCATAAGTCTCAGCCTTTTCATATATACAATGGATTTAGAAAGACTACGGTGAAAGAAGAAAGTGAATTTAGGTATGTAAAATACTCACCATGTGATGGGCAGCTAGCTAGATATTTTACAAATCTATAATCTGGAAACATGAGAGAGAGGACTAGCTGGATTTCCTAGGCCAACTAAGAATTCCTAAGCCTAGCTGGGAAGGTGACTGCATCCACCTTGAAACACGGGGCTTGCAACTTAGCTCACACCTGACCAGTCAGATAGTAAAGACAGCTCACTAAAACACTAATTAGGCTAAAACAGGAGGTAAAGAAATAGCCAATCATCTATCACCTGAGAGCACAGGAGGAGGGACAGTGATCTGGATATAAACCCAGGCATTTGATCAGGCAATGGCTACCCTCTTTGGGTCCCCTCCCTTTATATGGGAGCTCTGTTTTCACTCTATTAAATCTTGCAACTGCATTCTCTTCTGGTCCGTGTTTGTTAGGGCTCAAGCTGAGCTTTCGCTGGCTGTCCACCACTGCTGTTTGCCACCATGGCAGACCTGCTGCTGACTTCCATCCCTCTGGATCCGGCAGGGTGTTCGCTGTGCTCCTGATCCAGCAAGGTGCCCATTGCCGCTCCCGCTGGGGCTAAAGGCTTGCCATTGTTCCTGCACGACTAAGTGCCCGGGTTCATCCTAATCGAGCTGAGCACTAGTCACCGGGTTCCACGGTTCTCTTCCATGAGCGAAGGCTTCTAATAGAGCTATAACACTCACTGCATGGCTCAAGATTCCATTCCTTGGAATCCGTGAGGCCAAGAACCCCAGGTCAGAGAACAGGAGGCTCGCCACCATCTTGGAAGCGGCCCGCCTCCATTTTGGAAGTGACCTGCCACCATCTTGGGAGCTCTGGGGGCAAGGACCCCCCAGTAACAAACAGACCCAAAAGAATTAGGTGGACAATCTTCCAGGCAAGTGCTCTTAACCAACAAAATCACACCTTCCAAGGGAGGCTGATTGTCTTGTCTGTTGATTGGTTCTCCATCTCTAAGATGTGAAAGCCACACTGACCTGTTTCTGCTTATTGACTTCCTCTTTCTAGATCTGTGATGACCAGAACACATTCTTTTTTTTTTTTTTTTTTTGAGGCAGAGTCTTGCTTTGTTGCTCAAGCTGGAGTGCTGGAGTGGAGTGCAGTGGCCCAATCTTGGCTCACTGCAACCTCTGCTTTCCCGGTTCAAGTGATTCTCCTGCCTCAGCCTCCCGAGTAGCTGGGACTACAGACACATGCCACCATGCCTGGCTAATTTTGTATTTTTAGTAGAGATGGGATTTCACTATGTTGGCCAGGATGGTCTTGATCTTCTGACCTCGTGATCCACCCTCCTTGGCCTCCCAAAGTGCTGGGATTACAGGCGTGAGCCACCGCGCCCGGCCCAGAACACATTCTTAAATGGGATAGATTAGACTGCCTATTTGTTACATGCCAGTTCTAAGCATGCGACAGAGCCACATTGATTGGCCTTGAGTGACTCCAAACTACTGCTAAATGCATTCTCAGACCATCTTAAGCACAATTCTTCATGTAGTTGATTAAGTGTGCCATTGTGTGCTCATTCTTGCTGTTTTCACATTCAATGGGTGGCCTTATTATTCTTTATAGTGCTTTATGTATTGACTATGGAGCTTAGTATATGTTTCTGAAAATTTTAATTTTTGCTTAAAAGGCTGCAATAAGGTTCAGTTTCAGATAGCAGAGATAGTTCCAGCTAGTTTGAGCAGAAAGGGACTTAATATAAGGAGTTAGTTGGCTACAACATTGTTCAAAATGCTGGAAAAGCAACCCTTAGGCTGGGCCTCTAGAAATGACTGTAGAGTAAGAGTTACACTGCAGAACTTGCCCACTGAGAGAGCTGTCATCTCTGTCGCAATTGAAAAGTCAGGGAGTCAGGAAGCTTCTATTTAAACTGCTGGCCTCAGGTTCATACCACCTTGACTATGACCCAGGAAGTCATTGTCAAACTTGTTGGCTCCAACCCATGTGTCTGCTACAATCTGCACCTGTATCAGATGCTTTTTGTACTACTTCTGTTTGCATTTAACCATTTCCAAAGCAAATCATTGTGATTGTATCGAACTGGTCTAATCCAAGTCACAGTCATAACCATGTACGTAAGGGAGTCTGGGAAATCTTATTTTTAGTTTTTCAACCTTGTAGGATATTATAAGAAGATTGGGATAGATACTGAGTGAGCCTGAGAAAATCAACTGGATACACCCCAGGCAAGTACTTGTGCTAAGTGATAATTCATCTACTACAGAGAATTCAAAGATAAAGTAAGCCAGATTTTGTCAAGAGGACCTGTCTATAATCTAATAAGGGAGAAGAGACAAATCCTGTGTTTTCATATGGGATTGCTTCCTAATGAGTCTGAGTCAAATGTCCTTCCTAGGTAGTCATAAAACATATTTATCCTATCATAGCTTTTAAAACACAGTATTGTAATTGTTGGTTATTTTACCCTGCACTCAGTGGACTACTAGCTGTTGAAGGCAGGTACCATGTGAATCTTGCTAGCTGTTAAATAGCCAATGTTTAATCCAGTGCCAATCAATATTTGTTGAATGACTGGACACATGAAAACAAGTAGGAGTCAAAATTTCAGACTCTAAGGATGTAGGTGTTCATTTATTATAGAATAGAGTGTTTTCTTCTTGCCAGTCTTATCTCTAAACTAAATTAGAAGACTCTAAACAATAAATTGAACACTATGTTAAGAGAATGTGTTTCCTCAAGACAGCCCACCAGTCCTGCACTCTCCCTAAATGACAACTACATATTAGTGGCTGGAAAAAGTGACTACATTTTCTTTTACTAGGAAAGAGGAAAGAGGAAGTTTCCTTTTGCTAGCAAAGAGGAAACTATTGTGTCACATAAATGAAGCATATTGCTAGTTGCTATAAAAATTAGATTTATAGTCAAGGTTGCCCATTCTGAGTTACTTCTTGGGATAGGCAATACAAGATGTTATAGGATCTGAGATGTATATAAATAATATTTGAAAACCCACTCGCTACTGCTGCTGCTATTAAAATTAATATTTAGAGTAATAAGTATGAATTGGAAGGCTTAATACTTTATGGTCTTATGTAATTTAATTTAAAACTAAATGGCTTATGAAGTCAAGTGCCATTTTAACCCATTTTCTAGCTGATGACTCTAAGTGTTGAAGAGTTTTACTGGTCCAATATTATGGGATTAGTGTTATAACAAGTGGATTCCCAAAGCTAGGCCCATCCGATCCCAAAGTCTATGTTTTTAACTGCTATTGTATGTGAGTTTCACCAGTAGTTTTCCTTATTCTGTAAGAAAACTCTTCTTATCACAAATATGAACAGTGTATAGTGATGTCCAGTTTATATTATGCTTTCTACATGGCAACTTTGTGATACAGTAACCATGCAAAGCTTTCTATCTCTATGTTAAAAATTCTAAAATAGAAACTTACAATGCATAGAGCCAAACCTTCAGTGGAGGCATTCTGACACTAAATGCTGATCTTGTGTCTTTTCTTCAAGCTCCCTCCCACCACATGAACTAAAGACCTGCAGGCTGTAACCTTTTCCGAAGGGCTACCTGGGCCTCTGTGTCCATCAGAGCTGATGAGCTGATCCTCATTCACCATAAGTGCAACTATCATGGCTCATGGAGCTCTGGAGAGTAGCACATATATTGAACTCCAGTTTTAAAAAGTCTAATGCTTTTCTAAAATGATTTGCTATCTGTTACGTCCAGAGAAGATTCATTATGTATCCTTTCTAGCATAAAATATCATTACTTTTAAAGAAAAATCCAATTGAAATTCTTCTAACTACAATGGAAGTCCCCTTTTCTTATTCATTTCTCACTAAAATATGGAACAACCAGTCACTCCCATTAAATCTAATCTTCCTGTATGCTCTTGAAGAGAACTACCAGTTAAATAGCTATGGGAACGGTTTTTGAAAGACAAATTGCATTGTTTCAGTACTTTGGAGGATGGCGGATGTTTGTCTTTCCTCAAGAGATGTATGATGGACTGTTTTTGTTGAACTAACTTGGCTTCAAGAATTCGAGACTAACTCATTTTCTCGAACAGTGGGGGATTTAATGTAGCAATATGCAGGCATGGGACATTGGAAAGAGCCAGATAACCAAAGAAAGAGCAGTAGCTGAGGTGGGATTCCAGGACCAGGGTGGGTTAAGTTAGCTCTGAAGCTTGGGATATAAGGCTTTTCACTCTAGCATTCTAACTTAACGTTGCTCTACATGTGGCTCGACTTTCTCATAATGTTAGATTGTATTTTGTGATTTGCCTTATTTTCTTTGTATTTATTGACTTTAATCCTCAGGAGAGACAATATGAATTTATTTAAGACAGATTGTATCCTAGCTCTGGGTCAGATATTCAGCCTTTATCCAATAAGATTTCCCTCCTCTAGTGACCTGGACCTGCTGGGTAATGGCATCACGTGTGCAAATCGTGGCTGTTTCTTTAGCAGAGGCTATGGGCAGAGTCATTCCAACTAGAAGGGGCTGCGGGCATTTCAGGCAATGTGCTAAAACAAAGGCAGTTTCTGCAAAAGAGCACATTCTATTTATTCTACCTTCTGGATGTGGCGTGAGTCCATCTGTCTCTCTCTATCCCCACTGTAGCTCCTCCAATTCAGGTCACCATACCTCATGTCTTGACTATAGTAATAGCTTTCATATATATATATCTCCCTACCTTCTGTGGTGTCCAGTTCAAACCATTTTCAATTCTGCAGTCAAAGAGAAAACATAAATTAGTCTGATTTCTTCTCTGATGAAAAGTTCCAGTGATTTAGGAGAAATCGCACATTCTGTAACATAATTTATGAGACCCATGCTGACTTCTAACTACATCTCCATCCTCATTTCTAAACCCCACTTCTACTCTATGGTTTAGTCCATTACCTATAGACCTTCTACTCTGTTACCTTGGCTTATGAAACACTTCCCTACCTTTTTATGGCTAACATTCATTCGTGTTTAGGTCCTACCTAATGCAATCCCAACATTCCAGTCTAGATTAGAAGTCCCTCTTAGATATACTTCCTGAAATTGTCATAGAATTGAATTTCAGTGACCTATTTCATGTATTCTGGTGAAAACTCAAAGTGTGTGAGTGCAGGGGCTATCTGTCATTACTGGCTCTCCAGTGCCTGGTATATGATGAGTGCTTTATCAATATATGTTAAATCAGCAAAAGAAAGAGAGAAATCATTTTTCATAATAGTGATTAAAATCCATATAGTTACAACACCAGGAGTGAACCCCAATGTAAACTATGGACTTTGGGTGATAACGTGTCAATGTTGGTTCATTAATTGCAAAAAATGTACCACTCTGGTAACGGATGTTGATAATGGGGGAGGCTATGCATGTGTCAGGGTAGGGGGTATATGGGAAATCTGTGAACTTTCCTCTTAATTTTGCTGTAAACCTGCTGTAAAAAATAAAATCTATTTCTAAAAATCCCTGTTGTGTGTTGTCTCTTCTCACATTATACCACCCCTCTCCCATGCTGGTTTCTGCTCTGGCTTCCCTGATCTGTTCCCAGTTCTTTGTGACTCTTCTCCTCTCCTTCCACTGTCCTTGTGCATGCCATTTCCTCTGCCTGGAACACTCTTCTTGTGCCTGGTTTGCTGCTAGTTAGATTTTAGATTTTAGCTCAGTTATCTCTTTTTCAGGAAGTCTTTTCTGATTCTATGCCCCAGACTAGATAAAATCCTCCCATTATGTGTGACCAGCATCATATACTTCTTCATGACACTAACGACAGTTCCAACCTCACATTTATTTTTGCAATTATGTCTGTTTATGTTTATTACAGTCCTAATCTTAGGAAAGCACCTAATAAGAGAGGAAAAATAGTTATTTGGTGAATAAATAATTCATCAAATTCGTGTAATGTTATCAGACAATATACCATAAGAACTTGGTGAATGAGGTGGTGAGAACATCAAAGGTCTTCAGAAATCGGTTACCCGGTATAGTAAAAAGGACTAGTAATAAACTATGACATCAAGGGGTTGAATCTCTGTTACACAATAAGCTAGCCATGTGACATACATATTACCTTATTTATCTGAATTTCAGCTTCTACAATGGTAAAATGTGGATAATAATTTTTTTCCCTTTCTGAAAATTAAATGAGATGAAACAGGTAAATATCTTTGTAAGCGGCCATATAAGGACAGATATAGTGGCAAAGTTCAATCTTCTTCAAGGTAAATTATAAGCAAACGTAGACATAGAGCATAATTTTCTTCACATCCAAAGTTTGCCCTATAAAAAGATAGTCAAAACTGATAAAGTGTCTGAAATTTTGATTTTTTTTCATTTTGTTTCTAACAGGAATCATTTTCATGCCACATTAGGGTTGCCAGATTAGTCATTAAATAGACAATATACAATTCATTGAACTTTCTGTTAGCTCATTTGAGAGACGATGAAGTTAGAGTGCTTAATATACGGTCCTTTGTGATGGGGTAGATAAAAGGGTTCTGGAAAATTCCCAAGAGGTTAGATGTTAATGGAAAGATCTGACTCCCTTGGCCCTAAGAAAACATGATGGTTTCTGTAGAACTAGAAATAAAGGATTTGAAAGTAACTTAAAATTAATCCACCTTTAACTTGAAGAGCACAAAGCACATTACAATCAAACAGGTGTTTTATATTATTCATATTTAATTTTCACCAGTCCTTTCAGGGAGCTACTATTATTCCAATATTACAAGGAAAAGTAGTTGAGAGAGGAAATAAATTTACCTGAGGCCACTTACTCTTTGGTGTCTAGGGTTCAGCCCACCTAATGCAACTGGCATGTTAGGAGTATCTCTGTGTGCCTTCTCTGTGCTGGCTAATGTGAGAGTTAGAAAAGGAACACAGCTTTTGAAATATTAGAAAACTTTTTAAGTCAAATTTTCATGTTGCAGAAGGAGAAAATGAAATTCGAGAAATTGTGTCTCTTGATTCAGGTTACACGAAGAAGGGCAGAATATGTACCTGTCTTGTCTAGAACAGCACACAGCAGGGACTCAGTAAGTCTTAACTGATTGATCCAGTTTTGTGTTCCTCTTATTAAAAAGAAAAGGAGAGATGTTTAGGAGAAGGATCTGATGCTACTCTTAAAGGAAGAATTCAGGGTCCCTGGCTCCTAGGTTCTCTGAGAGTATGGGACTTTCTCGATCAGATTCCCACTTATCCAGTCTAATGTTAGACTTTTGATACTAGGTGCAAACCTAGGCTTTGTGAGTGTTCCTTGGAAAATACTGTGCAGTTCTGGGGCTCAGTGATGATTTTCACATTAATTAACTATTGAACTTTCAAGCTTCTGAGATGATGGCAAGTAATTGTAAGGCAGGCAAGTAGCATTTTGAAGGTGTCATGAAATGTACCTTTATCAGTGTTCGTAAGACTAGTTAATGACAGAGTAAAATTATGTCCCGGTGTTATATAAACATGTGAATCCATTTCAGCACTTGCTTTTTCCATTCAAGGAAATCTTGAATTATTTTTCTTCAGGGGAAGAGAAGTGAGTTTCAGATTTGGTTCTCTTTCTGCAACTGCTGTCTGTCCTTGAGTAAGACATGCATGGAAGGGGTTAGATGGTGAAGCAGGTAGACTGAAGAGGAAGTGCTCAGGCTCTGAAGTCAGATCTCAGTTCAAATCTCCTGAGCAGTTTATTTGTCTACAGAAGATACTAGTTCCTGCATTTCTAAAACATAAATAATTGTGATACACTCCTCATTGGTACAGAGGGTTAGATGATCTAATTCTAGTAAAGTCTCTTAGCACTTGGGAGGAACTGTGTATTGAGTTTTCAGTGAGGAAAGGCCAATACTCTGCAGAGGAAGACATATTGGCTGCCTGAGGCTTCAGTTCTCCAATGGCTTTCTTTCTCTAAACCAGAGAGGAACGGGCTGGGTCAACAGTATTTTCCCAATTGCCCCGAAAGCATAAGTAATGAGTAGTTCTTCCTGTAGTGGCAGGAAAATCCATTCTCACCTTTGTACTTCTGGGGAGCTTGGGGATCCCCAGCCTTGAGTACCTCAAATCACACTGAAGCTTCCCGTGACCCACCTTTCCTGTCTCCCTAGTTGAGAGGGGCAGGATGAGAATAATTTATCTTTGTCTCCTTTCTCTCCTGCATCATTAATTTTTTCCTCTCTATTACACCATTCCTATCAGCATACGAATATGCTGCCATTTCTGCCACATTAATATAATGTTTCTTGATCTCATTTTTCAAAGTAATACTATATTTATTTACTGCCTTCCAGAGCAAAACTTTTAAAAAGACATGACTTTGCTTATTATTTCCAATTCTTCCTTCTAGTCCTCACCCTTACCCCTCTATGAGAAAGCTCTTGGTTGAGAACCTCTACCTGGGGAAATCCAATAGAAAATTCTCAGTCTTTTTCTTATTTGAGCAATCAGGAACCTTTGGTTGAGCTGATCACTGCCTTCTCCTTGAAATGATTGATTTATTTGGCTTCAAGGACATTGTTATATTCTCTCTCCCTTCATGTTCCCCAGGGCAATATTTTTAGAACTCTTCTCTTTGTTATCTAATCCAGTATTATGTTTTCAGTTGCTTCTACACATTGATAATACTTAACCTATAGATTCATATATATGTGAATCTGACTGCCCAACGTCCCCACTTGGGTTGCAGGTAGGAATCTTGTCTCAAACCTCACGTGCCCTCAAACTAAATCCTGAACTTCTTTCCCCAAATCTGGTCCCTATAATTTTTCCCAATATCATGGTAATAATGATAGCAAACATTTACATGGGGCTATGTGCCAAGTACTATTTTAATAATTTGCTTTGTGTATTCACTCACATAATCCTCAACACCATGTGAGGTTGAATATTATTATTACTTCTATTTTGCAATGCAGAGTGGAGGGAAATACTTACTTGCCTAGTGTCACAGTGGCAGAGTTGGACTGCAAAGCCTGACGGCCTGGTTCTGGTCTTTCTATTAGCATACTTCCAATTCCTGCAGCCAAGCATGTTGAAATAATCTATGACTTCTGTCTCTTACACCCACATCCAATCCAATAGCAAATCTTGTTGGTAATACTTTCATGATATATTCAGAATCTGACCACTTACCAGCCACATTGTCACAATCCTCGTCCGAGCCATCCTCTAATGTTTCCTCTACCCACCTTGTGCCCATTGCGATCTGTCTTAGCACAGCAGCCAAAGGGAGGCAGGTCATGTTACACCTGCTGCTCATGGCTTCCCATCTCTGAGAGTTAAACACAGCATTCATACAATGACCTCCAAGGACTTAAATCCTCAGCTGTCTCTCCTATTACCGCTGTAATCTCACCTTCTACTGATCTCCTTGCTCATTCCACCCCACTCACACTGGGCTCCTAGTGGTTTCCGGAAGATGTACATGCTTGCTCTTGTCTCAGGCCGTTTGCACTTGCCTTCCCTGGCATGTTTTTCTCCCAGATTTCCACATGCCTCGCCTCCTACTTCCTTCAGCTCTTTGGTTAAATGTCATCTTTTTAGTGAAGTTTTCTATTTAAAATTGTCGTGTCCTACCCTACTGAAGTTATTCCTTCTTCCTTGTTTTACATTTATCATCCTCTGACTTGCTTTTGTTTATATTTTTTATTCCCAGTAGAATATTAATTTCAGGGCAGAGGAGATTTTTGCTGTTTTGGTCATGGCATTATCTCCAGTATTTATGTGACTGGAACATATTAGGTACTTAATAAATATTTATAGAGTTTGTAATAAATGTAAAAATATTTGTAAAAAACAAATAAGTAAATAGTTTTTAGAGATAGAGAAATGAAATAATTAGGATTCCCAATACCATAAGTCATGGGTCACAAACCTTTTTGGTACCAAGGATTGGTTTTGTGGAAGACAATTTTTCCATGAACTGAGATGGGGGATGGTTTGGGGATGATTTAAGTGCATTACATTTATTGTACTCTTTATTTCCATTGTTATTACATTGCAATATGTAATGCTTGATGACATCTGTCACTGATCTCTGCCATCTGGGGTGATGGGAGACAGTGACAAATCATCAAGCATTAGATTCTCATAAGGAGCATGCAACCTAGATCCCTCATATGTGTAGTTCACAATAGGGTTTGCACTTCTATGAGAATCTAATGCTGCCAGCTCAGGCAATAATGTGAGCAATGGGAGTAGCTGTAAATACAAATGAAGCTTCGTTTGCTTGCCAGCCTCTCACTTCCTGCTGTACAGCCCAGTTTCTAACAGGCCCCTAAGAGGCTGGGGACCCTGTGCCATAAGTGATAGTTTAATTGGGAGCCAGATGGAATTTACATATCTTTTAGGGATACCTCCCCATTTAAAAATGAAGAATCTAAGGAAGAGAAGAAAAGTATCTACTCAAAGCCTTGCTGGTTAAACCTCATGCTTCATGGATGAAGTTGTTTAATCATTTAGAGACTACCTTTCCTGTCCCTTCCCACAAGTCAGCTTCTGAAGTTAACATTAGATATTGTTACGTAAAAACAAAACCAAAGAAACCTGCAGACTTATAAACTTACAAACATTAAACATTCTAAGGTCTATTTGCTTAAAGATTTTTTCATATCTGTCATTGCGTTTTCTCTGTGTTTGGATTAAAAATAGCCAGCTCCCTGCTGATAGCACGGCCATCAGTTTCACAGCAACATTCAGTTGAAAGCCCAATTAGTCCTAATCCCCCAAAAAGGCTGCTATTTAAGGTCATGTAGTATTTTATATCAAAAGGTATGTTAAAATATATTCTTGAGGGAGATGAAGAGACAGTGCCTGAGGTTTATAGCCCTCAAGTCTTTCCTTCAAATAAATGAAATACAGGCTTCTCCCAGGTATGAGGCTTGACTTTCATTCTGGACTCTGAATTCTACCACTTTCATTAGCTTTAGATACAGTATTTTAAATTCCAGAAAAAGAACACTGCTAAGCCCTTATTAATCATAGTGCAAATTTTTGGGTGCTCATTTATTTTCAGATTTATTTTATAAAACTAGAGTTTTATGGGTTAAAGTTTCCTCAAGTTTGTTGGGCTATATCCTGATGCCATATCAAGAACCATCTTCCTTTGATATTTACTTTTATGCGAATCTCAAGAGATTTGCAAACCTTGATTTATGTGTGTGTGTTTCTATGTAGTGTCATATTCTGGGTAGTAAGCTGGTTCTGGTTCGTATTTCTTTCATATCAAGTGCCACAGAATAACATCTTAGTTATATCACCCTAAATTTAACTTTTTTGATAGTTGTTCATTCCTTAAGCTTGATGGTTAAGCTAACACTTATTATATATATTTTCTGTTATTAGTTTTTCTTTTTAGGACTTTTAGGCACACATCTCACCATGAGACAGTCAATGCTTAACTTTTCTGAAAGTTGCAACTGAGGTTGTAAATGATTATGTGCTGAAGGAGTTGGTTTTGAGTCTGCTACCTATTTTTCGTGGGGTCTGTCCTTTTTATTTTTTTCCCAAAGGTCTATACTGGAATATTCAGTGCAAAAATTACAGGAAGATTTAGAAGAAAATAACAGTATAGAAAAACATCAGTGGGTCTGTGTTCTTATTCTCATCGATGCTTCCCAAAGCTATATTTAAATGGAACCAATCTCCTTACCAGTTGCTGAGTTAGGACCCATGATAGATTATATGCTGAATTATTTCCTCTAAATTCTTTTCAGCAGTCAAGCGAAGTAGATATTTCTCTTTTTGAGAGTAGGTAGGCAACAGAGCCTATAGTTAGCCACTCTAAGCCACATATCCAGTAAGTAACAGAGCCAAGACCTCAGATATAATTTAGGTTTTGCTCTAAATGCTAAGGTCTTCTGTTACATTGCTCTGCCTCTTTCCATTGACCTCTCAGTTTTCTTTTCAGATCCAACAGGTATTTTAAAAACCATATTAATATAGTGAACTAATATTACACTTTTCTTCCTTTCTTTGGCTCCAGGTATCCATGCTTTGACAGCTGAAATAGTGGGATGACCCTTTGAAGCAGAGAGACACCTTTCTCCCTGGGTGCTACCTGAGCACGTCTTAGAAAACCATTTGTTTTATTATGACATTTAGCAGATTGTGTTATTTTTACTCACATGCCAAATGCTGTACTTCAGCATGAGCTTTTCAAGAGGTAAAGAATAGTGAATTATGTAACACAGATATGAGCCACCAGGGGCACCTATATGCAAACTAAATTGATAGTTATGAGGTCATAGTGTTGAACTGTTGTTGCGAATACTTTTCTCATAGACACCCTGAGAAGTGATAGTTCATGCTAAAGTTTCAGTGTAACTTTCTCCACAGAGTTAAACTTATCTCATATTTAACATTCTGTGAATTCCACATCCAGAAGAGTTCAGGGTTATCAATGTGGTATTTTCTCAAAATAGAACCACTCTGTTCTCCAAGGATTTAAAATATAGAAGCCCAGGAAATATTCTGTTGTCATTTTTAAAAAATGTCCACTAACACGTGAAAAAGTTGTTCAGAATTATAATATTCAATGTGGGAGAGACATATTCATGACCTTCTTAATCCAAAATCAAAACTGTTTTCCCAAAAGGTTAACTGCCTTGTTTAGAATTACATAAGTTCTATCCACATGATCCTCATTTTCATTCTTATTTCTTCTGGAAAATTTATTGAGTTATTATGCCTTTGAAAGTCATAGTGGTTTTTCTGGGAAAACTATGTAAACACTGCATAATAATTTCTGTTGGAATTCCCTGCTTTTATTTCTTCACAGCTGCAGCAGAGCCATCAATAAACAACTCTTGATTTTAGTTGGTCAGATTCAAGTCAATGAAAAAATGACATTTCTGTGTGTCTACTTCGGGCTAACCGTTATGGTAGGCACAAGAGAGATCACAGGGATGAATTAGTCCTAGCCCCCTGGGGATTATCCTCTCACCCTCTCCCCGCCCTAGTTATCTTGGTCCTTTTCACATTATCAGAACATATATCATAGCAGGTTCTGTTTCAGGCAAAATTTCACTTCTTTATATGTTTGTTACTACTGTTCATTTGAGATCTGCCACTAACCCTCATTATGACCTGGGACATGTCTGTGGCCCCTCTACAAGCTGGCAGGATAAAAATTGACCAAATATATGATGCTGTCACATAGATGGATCCTGTTGTTTGGTGATTATATTGAAATCTTTACCGTAAAAATTGTGTTGTCAAAAATGAAAACAGATGATACTGAATAATTCACTAGTGCCCTACTCTACAACTTTTCAAACAAAATTGAATATTCTTTTCAACATTCTCTCTGTAAAAAAAAAAAAAAAAAAAAAAGCATATTAGTGACCCTATATCCAATAGCCAGTTCGAACTTTGTTTTTCTCATGTCATGCATCTCTCTTTTGACTTCTCTGAAGTCGTCAATCTATTGGCCACTTACCTTGTGACACAGTGGCAGAAGATATAGGAAAATCATCAACTAGCCACTTTACTATCTGAGATTTGTTAGTCTCAATTGTAAAAAAAAGGATCAAATGATCTAGTGTCCTTTTCCATTCAAAGACTCTTGAGGTCAGAAGAATTGAATAGAATCACACTGGAGAAAAACCCTATGATTGTAAGAAATGTGGCTAAGCCTTTAGTTTTCCCAGTTCTTTTTGAAAATACGGAAGAGCTCACATGGAAGAAAAGCTTTATGAATGTAAGAAGCATGGTGAGGCCTTTAGTTGTTCCATTTTCACTTGATGGCATACTTATTCTGGAGGAAGACTCTATGAATGTATGGAATGTGGGAATGTTTTCATTTCTCATATATACACAAAGACACATGGTAACAGACACTGAAGAAAATTTTATAAATACAAGAATGTATACTGGATTAAAGCACTAATAGTGTAGAAAATACAGAAAAGTGGTGTGAACCCAGGAGGCGGAGCTTGCAGTGAGCCAAGATGGCACCACTGCGCTCCAGCCTGGGCAACAGAGTGAGGCTCTGTCTCAAAAAATAAAAAAGTACAGAGAAGTTACCGCTTTTAACAATTACTTTAAAAGTCATGTGAAACTTCTACTGGAAAGAAATCCTACACGTAATATGGAAAGCCTGATGCAAAATAATTATTGTATAATGCTTGTGAAAATTCACAACATAAATAAAATATTACATGACATAAATATATGGTGTTTTGTCCGTGACTCACTTTTAAAAAAATTTTAATTTTTGATTTTTGTGGGTATATAGTAGTTATATATATTTATGGGGTACATGAGATATTTTGATACAGGCATGCAATGCATAAGCATTGCACCATGGAAAATGGAACATTTATCCTTTATATTGCAAATAATGCAATTATAATTTTTAGTTATTTTAAAATGTACAATTAAATCATTTTGATTATAATTACCCTGTTGAGCTCTCAAGTAATAGGTCTTATTCATTCTTTCTATTTTTTGTTGTACCCATTTACCATTCTCACCTCCCTCCCCATAGCCCCACTACCCTTCCCATCCTCTGGTAACCATCCTTTTACTCTCTGTCTCCATGAGTTCAATTGTTTTGATCTCTAGATCCCCAAAACAAGTGAGAACATGCAATGTTTTCTTTCTGTGCCTGGCTTATTTCACTGAACACAATGACCTCTATTTCCATCCATGTTGTTGCAAATGACAGGATCTCATTCTTTTTTTATGGCTGAATAGTACCACATTTTCCTTACTGTTCATCTGTTGATGGACATTTAGGTTGCTTCCAAATCTTGTCTACTGTGAACAATGCTGCAGCAAACATAGGCGTGCAGATATTTCTTCAATATACTGATTTCCTTTCTTTTGGGCATATACCCAGCAGTGGGTTTGCTGGATCATATGATAGCTCAATTTTTAGTTTTTTGAGGATCCTTCAAACTGTTCTCAATAGTGGTCATACTAATTTACATTCCCACCAACAGTGTGTGAGGGTTCCCTTTTCTCACATCCTCCAGCATTTGTTATTCCCGTATTTTTGGATAAAAGCCATTTTCACTGGGGTGAGATGACGTTTCATTGTAGTTTTGATTTGCATTTCTCTGATAATCAGTGGCATTCAGCACCTTTTCATCTGCCTTTTTGCCATGTGTTTGTCTTCTTTTGAGAAGTGTCTATTCAAATCTTTTGCCCATTTTTAAATTGGATTATTAGATTTTTTTCTATAGAGTTATTTGAGCTCCTTATATATTCTGGTTATTAATCCCTTGTCAGATGAGTAGTTTGCAAATATGCTATCCCACTGATACGGTTTCTCTGTGACCCCACCCAAATCTCATCTTGAATTGTAGCTCCCATAATTCCCACCTGTTGTGGGAGGGAACTAGTGGGAGATAATTGAATCATGGTGTTGGTTTTCCCCATACTGTTCTGATGGTAGTGAATAAATCTCACAAGATCTGAGAGTTTTATAGGGGGAAACCCCTTTCTCTTGGCTCTCATTCTCTCTTGTCTGCCACCACGTAAGATGTGCCTTTCACTTTCTGCCATGATTGTGAGGCCTCCCCAGCCATGTGGAACTGTGAATTCATTAAACCTCTTTTTCTTTATGAATTACACAGTCTCAGATATTTCTTTATCAACAGTGTGAAAATAGATTAGTACAATAATTAGTATCAGTAAAGTGGGGCACTTCTGGAAAGATACCCAAAAATGTGGAAGAGACTTTGGAACCAGGTAACAGGCAGAGGTTGGAACAGTTTGAAGGGCTCAGAAGGAGACAGGAAAATGTGGGAAAGATTGAAATATTCTGGAGACTCATTGAATTACTTTGACCAAAATGCTGATAATGATATGGACAATGAAATCCAAGCTGAGGTGGTCTCCGATGGAGATGAGGAACTTGTTGGGAACTGGAGTAAAGGGGACTCTTGCTATGTTTTAGCAAAGAGACTGGCGGCATTTTGCCTCTGCCCTAGAGATTTGTGGAACTTTGAACTTGAGGGAGATGATTTAGGGTATCTAGTGGAAGAAATTATTAAACAGCAAAGCATTCAAGAGGTGACTTGCATGCTGTTAAAAGCATTGGGCTTTAAAAGGGAAACAGCGTAAAAGTTTGGAAAATATTGCAGCCTGATGATGTGACAAAGGGAAACCCATTTTCTGAGGAAAAATTCAAGTCAGCTGCATTTTCTGTGCCAGGCCCATGGCCCCCCTGCCATGTGCAGCTTAGGAACTTGGTGCCCTGAGTCCCAGCCACTCCAGCCATGGCTAAAAGGGACCAAGGTACAGCTGCAGCTGTGGCTTCAGAGGGTTCAAGTCTCATACTTTGTCAGCTTCCATGTGGTGTTGACCCTGCGGGTGCACAAAAGTAAAGAATTAAGGTTTCGGAACCTCTGCATAGATTTCAGAGGACGTATGGAAATGCCTGGATGTTCAGGCAGAAGTTTGCTGCAGGGATGGGGCCCTCATGGAGAACCTCTGCTAGGGCAGTGAGGAAGGGAAATGTGGGGTTGAAGCCCCTCCACAGGGTCCCCACTGGGGCACTGCCTAGTGGAGCTGTGAGAATAGGGCTACCATCCTGTGCAACCCAGAATGGTATTCCCACTGACAGCTTGCACTGTGCACTGGGAGAAGCTGCAAACACTCAATGCCAGCCCATTCAGGCAGCCAGGAGGAGGCAGTACCCTGCCATAGGGGTGGAGCTGTCCAAAACTATGCAAACCTACCTCTTGCATTGGTATGACCTGGACACGAGAGATGAAGTCAGATCATTTTGGAGCTTTAAGATTTGACTGCCCTGCTGGATTTTGGACTTGCATGTGGTCTTTAGATCCTTCATTTTGGCCATTTTTTTTTTCTATTTGGAATGGGTATATTTAAACAATGCCTATACCCCACATTGTATCTAGGAAGTAACCTGCTTTTGTTTTTACAGGCTCACAGGCAGAAGGGACTTACCTTGTCTTCAATGAGACTTTGGACTGTGGACTTTTGAGTTAATGCTGAACTGAGTTAAGACTTTGGGGGGCTGGGCACAGTGGCTCATGCCTGTAATCCCAGCACTTTGGGAGGCCAAGGTGGGTGGATCACTTGAGATTAGGAGTTTGAGACCAGCCTGGCCAACATGGTGAAACCTTGTCTCTACTAAAAATACAGAAAATTAGATGAGCATGGTGGTGCATGCCTGTAATTCCAGCTACTCAGGAGTCTGAGGCAGGAAAATCACTTGAACCCAGGAGGCAGAGGTTACAGTGAGTCAAGATTGTGCCACTACACTCCAGTCTGGGCAACAGAATGAGATTCTCTCTCACAAAAAAAAAAAAAAAAAAAAAAAAAAAAAAAAAAGACTTTGGGGAAGGCATGATTGGTTTTGAAATGTGAGGACATGAGATTTGGGAAAGGCCGGGGATGGAATGATATGGTTTGGCTCTGTTCCCACCCAAATCTCATCTTGAATTGTAACTTCCATAATTCCCATGTGTTGTGGGAGGGACCAGGTGGGAGATAATTGAATCATGGGAGCAGTTTTCCCATAACGTTCTTGTGGTAATGAATAAGTCTCATGAGATCCTTTGGTATTATAAGGGAAAACCCCTTTTTCTTGGCTCTCATTCTGTCTTGTCTGCCACCATGTAATACATGCCTTTCACCTTCCATCATGATAGTGAAGCCTCCCCAGCCACATGGAACTTTGAGTCCATTAAACCTCTTTTTCTTTATAAATTACCCAATTTTGGGTATGTCTTTATCAACAGTGTGAAAATGGACTAATACAGCCTTTCTATGGATTATCTCTTAACTTTGTTGATTTTTCTTATGCTGTGAGGACTTTTTTCTTTTTTTTTTTACCTTGAATTCTGGGATACATGTGTAGAATGTGCAGGTTTGTTACACAGGTATACATGTGCCATTGTGGTTTGCTGTACCTATCAATACATCATCTAGGTTTTAAGCCCTGCATGCATTAGGTATTTGTCCTAATGCTCCACCTCCCCTTGCCCTCCACTATCAATAGGCCAATGTGTGTGATACTCCCCTCCCTATGTCCACGTGTTCTCATCTGGGAAGTTTGGGAAGTTTTCTGATATTATTTCTTTGAATAAGCTTTTCTCCCCTACTCTTTTTCTTCATTCTCCATAAGGCCAATAACTCTTATATTTGTCCTTTTCAGGCTATTTTCTAGATCTTATAGCCATGCTTCATTTTTTTTTTAATACTTTAAGTTCTAGGGTACATGTGCAAAACGTGCAGGTTTGCTACATATGTATACATGTGCCATGTTAGTGTACAGAACCCATTAACTCGTCATTTACATTAGGGATATCTCCTAATGCTATCCCTCCCCCTCTCCCCACCCCACAACAGGCCACGGTGTGTGATGTTCCCATTCCTGTGTCCAAGTGTTCTCATTATTCAGTTCCCACCTATGAGTGAGAACATG